TTCACTGTGTGTCCCTAGGCCTCACCCATGCACACCACTCAAACACTGAGTTGAAGACAGAATTATTCATTCCCTTCTGGGCTTCCCTATGGTGCTCATCATGCAACACTCTGAGAGCTTCCTGAAGGTTAATTTATCTTAAAAAAACCTCTCCGAAGTGACAAGGTAATATATTCCACTTTACAGACAGGCAGCAGAGGCATACACAACAGCTAGTGCTGAGCTACCCAGGGTCCAAGTTGTGGGATTTTGTCACATTTTATAATAATCTGCATCTTCAGTCATGACATCCATTCACTTTAATTGCAACTGTGACTGCTCTATGCTTCTTCGTCTGAGCCATCAGGGTCCTGAGGTGGGCATTCAGAAATGAAAAGCACACTGTTATTGACCTTATATGAAATGTCTGATGTAAGGGACTGCGGAGAGTTCCTCAGGAACTCTGATGGCCAGAGACACACTCTGCTTCTAGGCAGAACTTAACTGTCCTGAGAGGAAGGCATTCATTCTCTTCCAATACTTATAAAGTATAAGTACCACATAAGACAGCATCCTTTACTTTTCAGGCCTAAGCAAGAATCCATTCTTAGAGTAGCAGAACTTTGTCTAATGAGTGAAGTATGAATCCAGGTTAAAAATGGGAGGAGTTCACTTGAAGTAATCATAATTGCCTGTAATGAAAGGAATGGATTAAGATAAAGACAAGCTATACATATGTTATTTTCTAACTTTCAACCTTTCTAACTTTCAACCCTTTCATTGATGCCTCATTTTGTTGTAGAATCTTTATTTTCTCTTACTTTTCTGTTTCTCCAGATACTAATTGCAGGGGGGATTGTGCAGCTAGTCCCTTTGCATGTCTGTTGACTCTGTGAAAATGTCATATATGCTCTCAGTCAGCATTCAGGGCTCTGAGGAATTTAGGCACCATGAATGAATACTGACTTCTAAGGGATGTGAGCTACTATTGAGCATATGCAATCCATTTTTGTTCACATTTTTGATAATGGCCAAATGCGCAGGAATTTTCACAAGAGTGAAATGTCCAAATACAAATGATACCTCTGTAAAATATTGTGTTTCTGATTTGAGGAGGAAGAGTGCAAGAGTATTTTAAATCAAAGATCTTTAAAGTAAAATAAAACTAATTTCTAACATTTTTCTAATCCTCTCCTCTTCCACTGCTGATTTCACAGATAGTTGATATACATTTGAATAAGTGGAGAAAACCCAAAGGTAACAACCACCACTTGAAACCCTGAAAGACAAAGCTAGAACAGAAACATTGCAACCCAAATGTATAGTTTCACAAAGTCCAGCCCTATAAACTATGAGTATGGCTTGTGTTTATGCAGAACATTAATCAGAACAAGCAGTCTCACAGAAGTAACAAAAAGCATCACTTGGCAAGTGCTTTTCAAACAGGCAATTGTCTCAAATGCTACTAGTTTTGAAGGATTCTACATTTATTCTAGGTCATGAGTAAGGTTATGATGCTGCTTTCATCATGAAATAGCAGTCAACTGTATTAAATTTCAGAGAGCCCACAGTGACATCATATATAAATGTGAGAAATTCTAGTCCCCAAAGAACTTTAGACAAAAATTTGTTTAGATTTTCTCTCTTTAATGATCACAAATTCCCTGAGCATAGACAAGGTTCTCGTTAGTTTGGGTACTAAGGATTCTATGTGTGTGTTATCTCCTTTAACTGAATAAATATTCAATTGTGCAAGAGGTCCCTGATACTATCAGGTTTGATAGTCAACCCTGCACAAGCTCTTTTCCAAATTATTACCAAAATAATTACTACTGAGTTATGGTGCTACTTCTGATATATAATTACATACTGTTGAAAAGAAGCAACAATGACATGCTGGGAGAGCTTTATATGAGCACTTGGGTTAACAAAACCAAAGAGCAATCCCCAGTGAGGAGAACCAGCCTCCATTTCAACTTTTATAAGTCACAAATTTAATCAGAAAATTAAAAAAAATGCCTTGAAACTGTAAAGAAATCATTGAAATAATGACGGAAGAGCTGAAAATATCAAACAGTCAACAAAAAAATAATATAAAAAATAATTTAATTTAGCTTGTTGGATAGCAACACAGTCATGGTCTCAAACATCAGCTGATCAGTTTCCTGCAGGGCAAAGCAGCTCATATCAGTCCATGTCTTTATGGGACCAAAGCACTCCAACCTTGTTGCTGATTAGCCAAACAGTAACTTTCATTTCTAAGCTTTACTGATCTTGGAATCTCCCCCTCTATAACCACTTTTTTCTTTAAGAGATGAATACACCTGGGATCTGTAAGCTGGGCAGAGTGACAAACATGCAGAGCAATTAATGATTTTGAAGGAGCATTTGATCTGGAATATGTATTGCAGTCGTAATAAGATACAAAATAGATCTACATAATTCAGCTCCAAGGCATTATAAATGGGTCTTCCATTTTTACATTTCATTGGCATGTTTGAAAAGTAATTCCACTGTGCATGGACATTTTTTTTCTGACCTGGGAGGATGTCCTGTTATGTCTCATCTGTTAAAATCATTAAGAGGGAGAAAAAAAGGCATCAGGAAGCTCACATGAACCATATCATTCATGTCATAAAGCACAACTGGTACTTCTCACTTAAGTTAGTTAAGTTACATTAAAAGTCTTTCTACAGCACAAAAGGCAGACCTTTCACACAAGGTAACTAGACAAATTCACTGTCCAGACTCATACAGCTTAGTTGATTGTGGAGAAGTCACACCCTCAGGATGAATTTTAACACTGATAATACTAGGTGGATTATTTCTTCTTTCTGTTTAAAGTATTTCTTAGAATCATATGGCTTGCTGCAGCACATGAATAAAATAAAAATAAAAAACATGTAACCAAGTTAAATCCATTGCCTACTAAATCCTCTGTTCTGATATTTTAATAACTATATATATTATTTTGTATGTCCCTGGGACATTAGGATTTCATTAGTTCCATTGACTACAAGTTATTTGAGAGAATTATTCTTCCTCTTAAATTAAAAATTGATAAAATTAAATTTATCTATAATGTGTCTTGAATTGGAAGAAGCAAATAAAAGAGAAAAAAGTGATCTGTTTTTGTTTTCTGCTTTTCTTCTAAACCAGGTGATACTGCTTAGATACTTTTTCCTCCTGTCTAATTTACATTTAACTTGGCTGCTGATAATATGTCTCTAATTTGTAATTTCAACTGATTACTGATGACGTACATGGGTTTGAAGTGAATCCTATAATCAGCCTTCCTTTTCAGGAGTGACTTAGGATTTTGGCTGCCCATCTGAAAAGGAACTGAGTTCTTTTATAGAAATTATTGAAACATTCACTACCTGAACGTGTAAAGATGTCTATTGTGTGCATTTAATCATTGAATAACTGACAAACCTTGACTATTTCAGATAATTTAGGTCTACCACCTTTAAAGACTGGTGCTTCTCTTTTGTTAAACAGGCTTTCTTTGGTTTTGAATATATCCATCATGACCTCCTTTAAAGTAATTAAATCTCTGTGCTAATAGGAAATCTTTCAAGTAACACAATTGTTTTCCCATTTGGGATAAATGTTAATAATTTAAATTATATTGGATTTATTGTATTATTTTTTTTCCTCAGAATTATTGCTAAGCTTAAGTTATAACATGAATGGAATAGGCTACTGCCATGGAGAAATGGCTCCCTTATTTTCATGAATAAAAATGGGAACTCACACAATTATGAAAAAGAAAAAAGAAAAAGCTAAAATTTAGACAAAAAGATTGTTCTCCAATCAGATATCATTAGTCCTGTGAAAGAGATCTCTGCAGCTATGTCAGATGTTTTGTATGCATGCAATAATTTGGCTAGTGCAGTGAGTAAGGTGAAAGTTGCATTTTGTGCCATTGTGCAACTGCTGCACTCCCATTGCCAGGAATGACAGAACTTGTCCTGTTCCAGAAAAACCTACTGCCTGTGCAGATAAAATTGTCTTAATTTGGTACCATCTTGTAGCTTTTTTTAGTTTGTGATTAGCAGTTAAGTTCAGCTATTTGGCTGTCTGGAGTGATTATCAGGTGCCCTTTTCAGTTTCTATTTAATCTTTGTCTCAGCCTTCAGAAGGTATTTGGTGATTGCTTAGTGCAACAAGCACTTTCTAGATGGCTCCTTACTGCAAGCAGCAGGGCGATTTCAGCCAGAGAACTTCTCTCAGTGCAGATGTGTTTCAGGGTGTTTTGAATACCTAACACAGTCAAGGTTAGTGTCGTATCTGAACATTATTAATATACATAGGCAGAAAACAGGGAGCAAGGAAGAAAAGATTCACAGCAGGAGGAAGCTTTCTTTAATATACTGTAAACACCTTCTCTGGTGTACATAAATATATACATTAATGTCAGTAATCTGTAAGATATTACAATCCATTTTTATCTAGTTAAATATTTTTCTGTAGAAATGAGTATAAAGCAACCTAAGCACACTCTAAGTATCATCCTCTTTATCTGCCTTTGAAGACAAAATGAAGTAATTTTAATGTAAGATGCTAGAAGCATAGTTATTTGGAGCAGGCAATAGCAAGTGCGACAGGATTACTGAGTAACAATTTTCTTCTCAGATCCTGTAAGAGGGACAGAAAAAGGAGAAAACAGAAACAGCTTAACTCACCAAAAATCAAACCACTGCATTGCCCTCTTAGCCACTGAGTGTTTTGGGATGAAAGACCGAAGATTACATCAGTACAATAAAAGCTCCCTCTGTCATAAGCAGTGCCCAAAGAAATAATAAAAAAAAACCAAACCCACCAAAAAACCTGCAGATTTAGCCCAGCATCAGAGGCAGTAGAAGTTAGAACAGGTAGAGGGGTAGAGTATGAGGAGGGAGAGTGAAGGGTTAAAGGCATTATCGCAGCCATTAGAAGGAAAAGTTGTAGCAATACAAGCACAGTAGACTTCTCTTTCCCCCCTGCCCCCCTCCTTTTCCTTCCCCTACTCCTCTCTTCCCAAGCTGGATCAGTGTGTAGGGAGGGCAGTCATCACGCCATCCTGAGCAGCAAGAGCTGACGTTGGACGAAGCTGCCAGGTAGCTGAAAAAAGGCACAGAAGGCAGCTGATACCCACTTTTCAACGGTTTGTGTTTTTTTTAGTCTGTATCTGGACTTCAAGCAACACAGCGCCTGAGACAGCTCATCTGAACCACGCTGTATTGCAATACTCGCTCTTCTCAAAGAAAAAGACTCCACTGAGCAGCAGAATGCTGCCAGTGTCGCAGCCAGGTCTACAATACAGAGCCTTTTTGTAACATTGCAAATTTCTTTCTGTTCAGATATTTGAAACACACATATACACTTATATATCAGTTCTTTGTTTTCTGAGGACACCTTTGGATTTTTTTATTTTTTTTCCCTGATGTGACTTTTTCATCTTGGAATGATGGGGATCTTTCTAGCTTATATTGGATTCATTTTCTTTTCAGTTATGTATATTCAACAAGGACTTTCTACCCAAGGTAAGATCACTTATTGTCAATATGTGTCTGTCTGGTTTTCTATGTTAGAACAGACTGAGAACAGGATTGGGGGGGAGGGGGGGGGGAAGGAAGAAAGGGGGAAAGAAGGAAAACAATGAAAATGTGTACGAGATGAGGACACCAAGCATCAGGTTTAGTTTGTACAGACAAAACTGTCTGTAAATAGGAAAAGAAGTGAGAAGTTTCCCCAAAGTAGAAATATAAAAGGCTTTCTTTACGCAAATGCAAAGAGGGAACCTTGCAGAAGAGTAAAGGGGTGCTGGGGAATGGACATGCATGTGTTTGAGTTGTGCATGCTGTTAGAGGGGCATGTTTGCATACAATAAACACCTACCCGTGCATGCATAATTATTGCATTCAGACCAAGTACCGGCTGGCTAAACCTACTGCTTCTCTTAAAATATTGAAGTCTGTGCTGCTTTCCCTTTCCTCTCTTATTATCCTGCAACGTTCACAGTCAGACCTTCATTCCTATTCCCTGACTGTGTGCATTTCTACCACTCTCCCCCCACCAAAAAAAAAAAAAAAAGCAGAAAAAGAGAAAATCGACTTCTTTGAATAGCTCCCCCACCCCCGTCGCCTTCCTCCCTCCCTCTCCGCCGAACGGCGCGCTTTGCATTCCAAGCAGCCCCGGCGCTGCAGGAGCCGGGTGTCCGGGACCCCGAGGCTGCGGCGGAGCCGTCAGCACCACGGACAGATCGCTCCCCCTGCCCCCGCCGGTCCGAGCCCGCCGTCCCCTCCCTCCGCCCCGTGCCCGCCGCCCCTGCCCTGCTCGCCCTCCCCTGCCCGCAGCTCCCCGCGGCTTGGCGCTTGGCCGTGCACCGGGGGGATGCCGGCAGCGCTCCCCTCCCGCTCCCCACGCCGCTCACGCGTACTGGCCAGGAGGGGAGGGAAGGAGCAAATCGAAAAGAAGCCCCAAAACAAACTTACTAGCACCGAACGCGCAAAATGCACGGTCCTTTTGGCAGTTTAAGTCGGTGACTAGCAATGGCTGGCTGGTGGGGGGTGGGGGTCTGAAAAAGGGGCACCGTGGAATATAAAGCTATCAGCTTTGAAAGTATTTGCCTCCAGGCACAGAGGCAAGGGTAAAGAGAAGTAACACTGGTTACCAAATTATCCCACCAATTCCAGGTTGGCTAGGAAGACTGTATAAAGAGAGGGGAAGGGGGGAGGAGACAATGAGCAATATTTCTTTCACATCACATTTCCTTCAGATCATAATGTGCTCTAGTCAATCTGTAGCAATTCATAACAGAAAGCGACATTGCAGAGTCTTTCCAATTTTTCCTCTTCTTGAAACACAGCATTTATTTATTAGATTGTTTTTCTGCAGTCCTCCTCACTTGACTATCATAATTCATTATGTTGCACAATTTTAAAGTGAGTGATAGGAAGGATGAGAAGGAAGTAAAGACTTAGCCTTAAAGAATCACTGATACCTTACACAATGTCTATCAGCATTAGCTCTTATACCTTGCAGTGGTGAAATGAAATGGGCAGATCTTGTTGAAGGACTGAGATACAAATATGAAGGTTAGTTCTAGAAAGTGTCTGCTGGGACTGAGAAACAGAAGGTGAATTGATTTTTGGTCCAATTATGCAAGTAGAGGTTCTCAGAATCTGAGTAACTAAGTCAGGTAAAGCCTTTGAAAAGGAAATTTGAGGAGTGATTGTAACACTGACTCAGAACAGTACCCAGAGGTGCTTGTGCCAACAGCTGCTTCTGCTGGCACTGGAAGTTTAACAATTTACAGGTCTACAGCCCAGCCCTACAAAATGCAAGAAATAAGTCTGATTTTTTCCTCTCCTAAAATGGTCTTGTACAAAATCCCTGTGTGTCTGGTGAAATACTGCATTCTGCCCAAGGGTATTTGGATCTAATTATGTGAAACTTCACCAGCTCATGGGAGCAAGCAGGGGGATCTATAACATTTCCCATGAGCAGAATTGAGAGTGTAAAGGATGGATTTGTGCATAGGGGAGGAAAAACATACCTGGATGTGAGAAAAATTGGGGGAGATAATGTGTGGGACACTTGGGAGAAAAAAAAATGAAAATAGTGGGAATAAGAAAAGAAAACAGAGAATTTAAAGGGGGGGGTGGGGGAGGAAACAAACAAACAGAAAAAAAACAAGAGTGGGAATAAGAAAAGAAAACTGAGAATTTAAAGGGGGTGGGGGAGGAAACAAACAAACAGAAAAAAAACAACACAAGAATCATTATTATGATTAGAAGGTAGCAATATGTTATGCATTTGTTTTGCAGCAAAATTCACAGAGTTTCCCCGAAATGTCACGGCCACTGAAGGGCAGAATGTGGAGATGTCTTGTGCTTTCCAAAGTGGCTCTACTTCGGTGTACCTTGAAATCCAGTGGTGGTTTCTGAGGGCAGCTGAGGACCAAGACGCTGGTGCTGAGGTGACAGGCACTCAGGTACTGATCCTCTTCCATGGAGTCTTAAAACCATCTGGGGAATGCTACAGAAAGGATGGGGAGGAAAGGGAGAAGGAAAGATAGGAAAAGCAGAAGGAAGGAGCAGAGAGAGGTTCTGCATCTCCCTAGGGACTTAATTTGAACTATGAAATGACAGAGCAGGAACCTGCAGAGAAAAATGCCCACCTCAGGGGTTGGTGCCTTTGGTGTCTGTCACTTCCACTATGCAGCTAGGTCTGTTCACATAACCATACAGGGTTTCCGAAGTCTATTTCCCCTTCCCCCTTTTTATTTATATGCATTATTATTAATATTATTATTGCTTTTCCTTATTTCATTTTCCCTTGGAAAGCAGCTGTTCAAAGATTGCTCCTCGTGAGAATCTTTTTATTTCCCATGTGGCAAGATCCTTCACGTGCCTTGCAATTTCCATCTAGCGCAGCCGAGTTGGCAGCCCTAACTCCGTAAGCAGCTGCCACAGGAGGGCACACGCAGGAGGGGGCGGGGGAGGCAGGGGGGAACCAATGCCCCATAGGAACTAAAAACCCAAAATCAGTCAACAGCGTGATTTCATCCTTCTGACTGGGACAGGAACAGCCATGTCCACTCACACTGCCATTCGGGAACGCCCTTCTACGGCCGCTGCTATCTCCCCACCGGGCGCGGCAAAAGGCGCCCATAGGAGGCAGGAGGGCGGAGGGTCCGCGGGTCCGCGTTCCTCGGCCGCCCGTGCCGGCTGTCCCCGGCTGTTCCCGGCTGTTCCCCGGCTGTTCCCGGTTGTTCCCGGCTGTTCCCGGCTGTCCCCGGCGCGGCCCGCAGGTGGCAGGCGCGGCGCGCCGCTCCAGGGGCTGCGCGGCGGGAGCGGGAGCGGGCGCGGAGCGGGGCGAGGCGAGGGCCGGAGACCCACGGCGGCGCTCCTTTCCCTGCAGGTGGAGTTCCTGCCCGAGCGGGACCTGGACAGCGACGGCACGAAGATCAGCGTAAGTGTCGCCGCAGGGCGCGGGCAGTCCCCGCCGGCCGGGGGTCCCTTCCCCAGGGAGCGTCTCCCCGCCTCCGAGCGCCGGGCCAGGTCCTGCCCCGCATCTCCTCCCCGTCCGCACCGCGGACTGCGGGTAGCTGGCAGCCTGCAGCTCAGCGGTTGGACTCGATGAGCTTAGAGGTCTTCTCCCACCTAAGTAGTTGATTCTATCATTCTGTGACCACTTCCTACTTACTTCCTTGACCGCCCTGGCAAAGGGTGTCAGGACAGCCTTTCCCCATGCAGCCCCCCACACCCTTGGACATGGAGGCATCGAGCAGTATGGTCGAGGCAAAGTCCATTGGCAGACCCTGCTTATACCCTGTGAAGAATTCAGCCTGCACCCATCGTTGCATTTCTTGTTTTATTTACCATGGGCAACTGCTGAGTCTGCCTTAGCACTCCAAAGTTGGTTTTAAGGCTAAAATTTGTCCATGAAGCTGCACTTTCCTTTAGCATGGTGTGCAGCTGCTTAAATGGGTGTTTTCTCAGGTCCATACATGCTGGCAGAAAGAAAGCTGGGAAAGGCTTTGCACAAAACCTCCCCATTGGGAGTAATCTCAACTCTTGACCACAGAGACTCAGTTTTACAAAAGTGAGATTCTGACACCAGTTACCAATCTGCTGCTTGGAGATTAAACCAGAATCTTATCTCAACAGAATTATAAAGCAGCGGTGCTCTATTCCCCCTGCAGCTGTTCTCTGCAGGGAGAAAATGCCTTCCACAGCCGACTCATGTCCTGAGTCAGGCCCAGCCAGAAGGCTGCTACTGACCTCAGAATAGGTCACATCCTCCTCCCTCAGCATCCCAAGAAATGTATGGTGGTTGGATGATGGTGTGGTGCTCACTGCAGTGGAAAGACACAGATACTTAGCAGATACTGCAGCGGGAATATTCCCTTTGAGCCTAGAGGGGTTTTCCCTTTCTCTGGCATAATCGCTTTGGAAGTGTTTTTTTAGCTGCAGACAAGGCTTTAAGTACCAGCAAAGCTTAAAACAGCGACAAATAAAGGACAATAATTTCTGACAAATCCTTTACTCTGCTGTTTTTTGATGCCTACAAATAAAAAACCAGATAATACATCAGGTCAAAGTATACATAAGTGTAGCTGAAGAGCATTTATAAATGAGGACTCAGGTACGTTGTGTTCAATACAATACATATTCTAGCCATACTTACATTTTCTGTGATAACTCTTACCATTGACTAGAAAGGATTTGTGTCATGGACCATATCTTCAGTTGCATTTGTAGACTATCTTACAAGTGAGGTTCACATGTGGTCCTTGGATACTATTCTGCTAGACATAGGGCTAGCAGATAATTCATTCCTTATCAGTACTGGCTCATTTGAAATCCCTGAAGTAATCCATAAGAACTGAGACACAATATAGACTGTAAAGTTTGTCTCATCTTTGAAGTTACAAATCTCTTTCATTATGTATAATAATAATTCATGAGAAGGTACGTATAGTGCTCCTATAAGCTTGCATAAAACATTTCTTTGCTATTTGTAATAAAAATAATCAACATTATTTAGATGTCTAAATCTACTTTGTATCTACTTTTTAGAAATGTAGCCTTTTTTTTAAGGGATACACAGCTCCATTAGTACTAACATAAATTATCATAATGAAGAGAAAACTAAAGTACATTTAATAAATATTTTTTAAAATGCTGGATGTGGGCTGAAATACACCATTTCTATCTGTTCTAAATGATAAAGTAGCACAAACTGAAAACATGCATATGTGTTCCCCGCAAGAATTTATAAATTTCAAATGCAAAAGTCAAAAACAATTCTGTTTTTCACCAGGGATATGCAATACTGTTAATTTTCTGGCTCTTGCATAGGAACAAATGAAGTAACAATATGACCTACCAATCCTCTTTCCATTCATATGAATCTTCTTTAATCCTTTTGCTGAACATTAATTGTTCAGTAGAGATATATATTGTTATTGAATATGATTTAAATAACTATCCAGCACTTTCTGTGCAATTAATATTGCATACATTATGTCTGTAAGTACATAATCTATACTTTCAGCTCAGTTTGCCAAGTATAAATTCAGATCTGGGTACAACACATCAGGCTATAAAGTCCATCCAGTACCTTGAAGCAATGACATATTCATGAGTATTGCTCTTCAATTTATCAAGAAGGCATAAAGGTGCCTTGCCAACACTGGTTACTACAGTAGGCCAAGCTGTCAGAAACAATATATTGTACAGTCCCCAGTAACATGTGTCTAGCTTCAGTCTAGTGGTTCACTATTCTTTTGATCTACCATGTATTTATTCATCATCTTGAGGTCTCCTTATTGTCACTGATACAACACAAAGCAACCTTTGCATCCATGTTTGTGCAATGATGGAAGCAAACCAGGTTCAGAAGTTCTTCAAAGCTGAAGATTTATATCCTGTGGAATACCTTCTAACTGGCTTCCTGTGGGGCACCAGATATTAATTCAGATAGAGAGTAATAGAAAATTAATTAAATATAAATTCTCTGCAGTGATGAACATACAGAAAGGAAACTGTGTTAACTTTTCCCAATGCATCTTAATACTGATTACACATTTCTGGATGTATAATTTACTCATGTGTGTTTTAATTATCAGAAATAAAAATATGTTATGTTGCCCTCAGATATTAGAACTAATTAAAAATAAATCAGGAGTCTTAATTTAGCTGATAACTTTAAAAAAAAATTCTGAACATGTGCTTCTAATAAATACACAGATAAACAAGACAAAAGAAACAACCTGACACAATATGTCTTGTTATCATTAACAGAAAAAAATACCAAAAATTTTGACACACTTGAAGGAGACAAACTGAATGTAAAATACAATTTCAATATAGTAAAGAGTACAAGCTAATCTAATAAAAAGTTATTTTTACATAGTTTAAATCTTCATCTCTAACAAAATTGTTAATGCACTAGTTCAGAAACTGAATTATTCAATAAAGCCAACTAACTGGAAAGGTTTAACCAATAAAGTACACAGATACTAGGTTTACATAAGAAAGCTCATTAAGAATGTTCATGATCTTAAGCAATTAATTGGAATGAACATGGTAGTTTGGGGTTTTTTTCTGAAGCTAATTAAATTTCAGAGCAAACTATCTAAGCAGACTTGCAAAGAAGATGTCAGGCATCCTTATAGACACAATTAGCCATACTCATCCTTGATGTAACTTCCCTGCAGTAAGCACAATCACACTATTGAGTAAATTGGTGCTATACCCATAGAATTTTTCATAAGAAAGAAGAATTCATGACAATGTTTTTTTTCTCTATTTTTTCCTGGAAAATTTGCAGACAGTGAAAGTACAAGGGAATGACATCTCCCACAAGCTGCAGATATCAAAAGTGAGGAAAAAGGATGAAGGCTTGTATGAGTGCAGGGTGACCGATGCCAACTATGGAGACCTTCAGGAATACAAGGCCCAGGCATTTCTCAAAGTCAATGCTAACAGCCACTCTCGGCGAATGCAAGCCTTTGAAGCATCCCCAATGTGGTTGCAAGACATGAAACCTCGTAAAAACATCTCAGCAGCTGTCCCAAGTAGCATCCACAATTCTGCCAATCAGCGTGTACGTGCCACCTCCAGCCCCGAAGCAGCAGCCAAAATCCCCAAACAAAGTCCACAATCAGGTATGGTAAAGCATTTTGAGCTTTCATTTGATTGCTTACCAGCATGTAAAAAGGAGGCTAAATCAACAAGGTAACCAGGAATTGTGACTAGGAAGAGTGTGGTGCTCATTTGTTCCTCCTTCTCTCTGGTTCTATTCTTCCTGCTATCTCTTTACTTCCTGAAATCTGAAAAAAAAAAGTTTCTGAGCAGAAGAAGCAAAAAACCTTAAACTTCTATACGTGGATTTTATCTCTACCAGTTTTACCCACCTAAGGCTAGCTCTCGAATCAAAGCTTAGTTTTCCCTGTAGTGTGTGTGGAGAGACAGGGGCATGTCACTGAATGACTCATCTCATTTTAAGATGTCTGTGCATGATAAATTAAATAAAACACTCATCCAGATGTGTTTCTTCCTAAGTTGTTTTACACCAGTCACCTAACTTATATCTTCAACATTTGTTAAAATTAATCTACTTTCACTGACAATCCTATTTTCATGAGTGACTTGATTTCTAAATCTAAACGGACCTTAGAGACACCAGATAGTTTCTCTGTTGTGTAGGCTTTAGAAAGACCATGGGTGTATCAGAGATTGTGTGTTTGTCATCTTCAAGTGCTTGATCACTGGCTTTGAATCAAGGATTAAAATGGCAGTGCTTTCATTTTCTGTCATGTAGAAATTAACATTTTATACATATTGTTGGGGGGATTTTGGTCACCACTGCAAACATAGCCTGTAATGAATATCAGCCTTAATTTTCTACATTGATACCATAAAATTCACAGTTATTCAAAAGGACATGAATATACAGGAGGTGCAGTTCTATATGATGGAAATAGAGAAATGGACAAGATAAAAAAATGATATGTAAATTATTAAATATTCTCTGGAAAACAAACTGTTCAAGTTTAAGGGTTTCTGAGTTGCTTCTGTTTAAACTGAGGGCCAATGTAAGGAGCAAAATCACAGCATACCTTAAAATATGTAATGGAAGCTAACTCTGATGCATCATTTTTCTGCTAGTATGTTGTTGAATCAAAAACTGTGATTACAACAAATTTCACAGCACACCTAATGTGAAATCACTTAAAAGTTACAGGTAAGAAAAGTTAAAGACTTTTTAATGAGGAAAATGCATTTCCTTACAGATTGGAACAATATGATTATTCATATAAATTCATAAGAATTCTTATTGCTGCTAAAAAAGGTGATGCATATACTATCAATATTTTACCTCTGTATACACTTTTTAAAATTTATGTAAGTTATATTCAGTTGTCTTTTCCTGAAATGGAGCCACTTTCATTTTTAAGCTCTTCCAAAAATATCTGAGCTCTTACAAGAAAATAAATATTTCACTTGATTTAAAACCACAATCTATCATAGCTTTCCATTCAGATAAACGTACACACTTCTTATTTTCCATTGGACTCTTACACTTCAAAGCAGCAGACTTTTCCATAAATAGAAAATTTTGCTTTCTATTCCATCCTATGTGAAATTAATTAAAATTAATTTATGAAATATGTAGTAACAGACTATACTGCATTGCAGCCGATGTGTGCACAAAACAGCTAATACACTAAATCATTTTGGATATATAATTTTCTCTGTAGTATTGTGTATGTCCTTAGTCCAAGCAATGTCTTGACTGATTACTGGACATTTCTTATTTGAGATCTTATAGGTGATTACATGGAAAGGCCCTTGTTAGAGAAAAAGAAATCTTTAATTTTTTACTTGAGCAAAGATTAATGCACACCAAGTACAGACAATCCTAATCAAAAGTAATTTAAAAATGAACAGATAAAATATAATTTAGTTTATTAGTTCATTTTTTATGACACAGCACAGAGAAGTGCTACATTCATCAGAGGTATAGTTTGTAGACTGAAGAAATAAAAGTGTACCAGGAATCACTCATATGCTTAATTTCAATTTAATTGTCACTTGCTACACAAATTATTTGTGTAGCATCAGATTGTATATTTTTGACATCAGATTTTAAACATCAGTTAAACTGTTGAGAACCAAGATTTGCTTTCCTTTACTTGAGAATATCTTGGCCTGGCCTGGAATATCTTCCAGCTGGGATGAGATTTGGATTTTCATTCCATTTTATAGTTATTCTACAGAAATAGAAATGCCCACAGGAGCACAAGGAAGTGGGGAGTTTTAGCTTTATCTAACTTAGAGGAGCAACTTCAGCTGAGGGAAGGGATATGTCAGTTTATGAGACCTCAAATAAAGCAGAAATGAGGTTTCATAGGTGTTGATAGTCTATCTTTTTATGATACAGAATCAACACAACTTCCTCACTTTATCAGAGTCTTCTCCTCTTTAACATCATGCTAACCATATTTATGCATGCACAAGATTGCTGTGTGATTACATTATATGTAAGCAATGTATTCATCCAGTCTAGAACTTCAAAACACGTTTGAATACAAATGTATCATAATGAGGTACATATTTGTACTTGAAAGACGTACAGGTTGTGATATTTGTTCATGTTGAGTAAAACATTGACTTCAGCACTAATGCGAGAAAAGTGCTACTAACCCTAGGTAATTTTATCAAATATTCTTCAGTATAAAGAGCTGCTATGTAGTTATTGGCAAACTAACAAAATAAATTTTACTGCCATCCTCACAGATTATTGTGAAATACATTTACAACAATAGGAAACATGTTGTAAATGTATTTCACATTTGTAAATGTCAAATTATTGGGAATTCTGTATTCAGCTACTGCTTAAGAACTTGACTACTAATATATGAAAAATTGACTCTGATTATATGACTATTTTGTCCCTAAGAATTCTTTTTAAAAGGAAGATAACACTGTACTCGACTTCTTCTATCCTGAAGTACACTGCAGAATTTATTTCTTAACAATAGATATTTACTGTGCAGCTCTGTAAAAACATTTTACAGTCACTACTATTTTAAAACATCAGCACTTCCCAACTGTACAGATATTTCTGCTATTCTCTTACTCTGTTCAAGAGTGAGAACATCAGTGATAACTGTCAGGGAGCTATATAGCCACAGCTGACAAATTAAAGTGCTACGAGGCCCATTCACTATTTTGCACTGCTCTGAAAAATATTATGTGAGTGTAAGAAATATATATATTTATTACTGTAAGCATAATGGAGATTCAATACAGGAAGAAATAGGTAATGAGAACATCTCACACAGAGTCTTCATAAAATATACTAAGAAGCACTAAATAACTATCTCAAAGTCAAAAAGGTCAGGCAAGCAGAAGGCAAAGCCAACACAGATTGACCCTTTCATTTCATAATTATGGGCTGCAGCAAATGAAGTAACCCATCACAGCTTAATAGGAATCTGAGTAATTTGACAGAGTAATCTGCATACATCCAAAAAATGTCCTGTGCAGGTGGAGTGACAGACATATTTTTTCCTGAATTATTCATAACAATCTATCTTAGTCCAAAGGTAAAAGCACAGAGTTATGACAAAGCTTTGCAATTCTAAGGAATTAAGTGGGGTCCAAGAGCTAAAATGAATTCAGGTGAAAGGAAGCTAAATAATCTCTAAGCTGCAGTAAATGTCATTGTTTCATGGATGGAACTAACTGCTGTCTGCATTCAAATCAGTCAACATTTATAGCAGCAAAACCAGATGAAGAATTTGTTGTGCTGAGAATGAGTATATCTCCCAAGGTCTTCCTGTTCTGCTGATACTCTGTTAAAGAACTCAAAGCCATTAGTTGCTTTTCAAACTCAAGAGGATCAGCCTCAGAGAATTACAAATTAAATCACAATTAGGTCAATTTTTTGCCTGCTTATATACAGACTCTGCACATTTCTAGCAACTTTTTGTTCTTTCGTGAAGTAACAAATTCATCTATTAAGCTATCTACATGACACAACTTCCTGTGGTAATGGCGGTGTTCCAACTAATGACTTGAAAAGTAACTCAAAGGAGAAGGTGGTACTTACCTAGGCAGAATGACCTGGATTCTTGGCATCATAAATCACCCTGAGAAGCTTATGATCAGGCATGAATGCAAAAAAAAAGAGGATAATTTTTTTTCTTCAGTCTGTTCATACTGATAAACTGAGGACATTTCTTCCTATCTCCACTTTTATCTAGAGAATCTAGGAAACTTTTGTCATCAACCTATTTTAAGCACTAATTTTATGTCCAGTTTGGAATCTTCTAGGATATAAACCAGTTTCCATGTTCGGGTTTTTTATTCTTTTTAATTTATGCTCCATCTCCTCTCAAAGCAAAGGAACAACATGTCTGCTCTAGCCTTCACCAAGGTGACAGCCACCATTACTGCTTTCTTCCCTCAAAGAATCCTTTGGCTTTCATAGTTACTGTTTTAGAAACTGAGTACCTGTAAGTCTGGGAAGCACCAACCATTACTGTGATTGTGGCATAGCAAAAAGTAATGTCTCTTTCCTTTGGACTTCATGAAAGCAAAAACTCAATGACAGTTTTGTTCTTCTTGTTCTGAACCTTATTCAGCTGTTCTCAGAAATGCTTGCAAAAACACAATTCCAATTTACACCTCTATACACTGCAAGCTCTGTTTTTACCTGAAATATACACTTTGATTCCCTCTTCATGAAAAGATGCTGCTCTACTTCTTTTTGCTTCTGAAAATAATGGAATCAATTCAAACCATGTTAGTTGATGTAACCCTAATAACTAGTTAGCTCTTGACCTTGAAACTGTAAACATCTTTTAGAAGTGCTAATGTGCTCTGAATAAATTAACTGACAAAGCAACACCTTTAAGGCAGCTAACCCTCCACCCTTTGAGTTTTTTTAAGGCCAGAATTTCCAATGCAAAATCAACTCAATAATGCCTTATGTTTCTTTTAAAAAACCCACATATTAATTTCTTATATGTGTGCTTATTGATAGAACAAAATGGATACAAGTACTTAAAATCCTGTTCCTAATGCTTAGTTCACCTAGACCCAGAAACAAACTCTTCTTGGTGTATCTGCAGTTCTAACTCCTGTCACAAGCCTA